TTATTATTAGCATTATTCTTCCGACATCTGATTTCTTTTTAATTATAGGAAATGCGTTTTTCTAAGGTACATAATCTTTTGGGATTGACTGTATAGCCAATACATCCTTAATTTAGAAACACATGAAATCCGCAGTCTAATAATTAGAATGAAATAATTCACCCTAAATGATTGTTTGAGTCCGCCGTTGTCAGCAATGTTCTCCCCTTGGGTCATCCTCCCATTGATATACAAATCGACTTCCTGTAATTTGTATTTTGAATACTGATCGACGATGCATTGCGCCCTTTCCCTGAATGCTTTCACGGTCGCGTTGTTCCACCATTGCATCATGTTCCCATCTTTGTCGAACTGGCGCCCTTTATCATCGAAACCGTGAGTGATCTCGTGGCCGATTACCACTCCGATCCCACCGTAGTTCAATGATTTCGGAAAATGCTGCGAGTAGAAAGGCGGCTGCAGAATTCCGGCCGGAAAAACTGCAACAAATCATGTTACAAATTAAAATATACTTGCTTATGCATCGAATGTGTTAGACTAGAGATTTTTTATGGAAAATGAGACGTTTATCTCAGTCGATTGAAAGCAATCATTTTTGATATTTTTATCAGTTTTAATTTTCTGCATGGGCAAATTTTATGAACGCATGAAATCCTCGATGCTCGTCGATTAATTTACCAATGTCGTTTTTATTAGGATTGTAATAGGCGTTGACAACGGCCGGTTCCGTGGTCCATTTGTCCTTATCAACCGGCTTCCGCAGTTTCTCTAGATTGTGATAAGCATCGTACTGGAGCACAGCCAGTACATTCCCCAAGTAATGATTCTCAGTAATTTGCAGCTGCGAAATAATACTTGAAAAGAATTCGTATTATGAAACAAATTATTAATTAATTCATTTTCTGTACCGTCACGTATTCCTTGGAGAGTTCTATGGGATCCTTTAGAAATTCTGGATACCCGATTCTCTCGTTCATCGAGTCAGCTTTGCTCTTAGCCACAGCCCTGGTTCCACTGTCCATCCAATGATTCTCGGCTAGTAACTCGTTGAACGCTTCTCGTATCGTGCGAATCATTTCCAGTGCCGTCTCCTGAAAACGGAATTCATCCTCCAGAACGACGTGATATTTCTAGGCATTTTTAATTTTTAATCTAAATTCAAGCATTTTTTAATTAAAATTCGATGATGTTGGATTACTGCTTGATGTCTTTTTCTTCTCTTCTAAATTCTTTTTCCATTTCATTTATCTACTTTTTCCTCTTGGATTTGGGTAAATAAATGAAACAGTCACCTTGCTATCATGGTTGAAATTGTCGCGTATGAAGAGAGCACCCACTGCCATGCCAAGCTTTTTATTTGTCCATTCGACGCAATGGGACCACCTGTTCCTCTCACTCAATATGCCCAACAAGATCTTTCGAAACTCGACCCTCTTCTGCTGGTACTCGTCTATCATATGAGGCATCAGCGACATTACCAGTTTCCATAATATGAAATTATGCAATGTCCTACAAGAGAAATCATTTCTTTTCAATATCACTGAAAATTTTAATGACAAATATATATTACAATCAGTAAAAGAATTGATTCGTCAGTCTCAATTAATTTATTTTTATA